AGGCGAGGTGGGGGCAGTGCCAGATGGGTCCACAAAAGAACCTGGGGCTCGATCCTAAATGATAGAGTAATGGTTGAGTGGCTTTAAGGAGGACTCTGATGTCATAGGCAAGCAGCCCTACAGGGGTGACTTAGGAGGATGTTGAGGTTGGGTATCTGTCTATGTGGACCGCAGAGTGGTGGGGAGATTGAACAGTAAGGAACTCAGCTCGGAGCTCCTTTGCCTCTTCCTCCCACCTCCCTGTGCCCACAGACCGTCCTGGGGTGCAGGACGCTGCGCTGATTGAGGCCATCCAGGACCGCCTGTCTAACACGCTGCAGACCTATATCCGCTGCCGCCACCCTCCACCAGGCAGCCATCTGCTCTATGCCAAGATGATCCAGAAGCTGGCTGACCTGCGTAGCCTCAACGAGGAGCACTCCAAGCAGTACCGCTGTCTCTCCTTCCAGCCTGAGTGCAGCATGAAGCTCACGCCCCTTGTGCTGGAGGTGTTTGGCAATGAGATCTCCTGATGAGGGCAGCCTGCAGTGGCACCTGGGTGGGGCTGCTCCCCTGGGGCCATGTGCCCAAGATGGGGGCTGGCTGCTACCCAGCAGCCCTTCCCACCCTCTCTCAAGTTCAACCCCTGCTCTCCCACTTCTCCTCCCTGCCTGGCCCATTCTCTCTCCTACCCAACCTAAGACCAGGTCCCTGCTTCCTGCAGGCCACAGGCTGTCCCCCATCCCTCAAGACCACAATCATGAGGAGTTGCTATTTATTTGACATAGAGACTCAAGTAAGGGCAGAGGGCAGAAGGTGGGGCCTCATCTGGGGATGCCCCCACCACTCCAGAAGTGGCTGCTGGTTGGTGCCCAGGGAATAGGCAGGCAAGAGAAATGCACTCATTCCTCAGGGACAGATACCCATACCTCCCCCTGCTCCAGGCCCACATGTCCAGAGCCTGGTGGGGATCTCCCCATCCCATCCCACCCACAATAAATAACTGGCCACAACCTCCACCTCACCCCCATCTCATCCTGCCTCCAGTCTGTGCTGTTCTGTCCCAGGGCAGCATGTGATAATGCAGACTTCTCCCTTTGCCTTCCCAACCCTGGCCTGTCTAGGTTACTCACTGCCAAGGATGACCAAAGACAGGGTCACTAAGGTCACAACTCCCCCTTCACTCACCTCTGCTTGCCGAGTTCACTTGCCTAACCCCTCAGTGCCCACCTTTATCCCATTACCATGGTAACATTCTCTTTGGAAGTAGCTATGGTGAGATGGGCTTTCTCCCCATGGATGGGGCTGCTGGCCCAGAACCCACCTGCCGAGAGACCCAAGGAGGGAAAAAAGCAGGGCCCAGGCAGTGGGGGACAGGCAAACCTAGCCTCTTGGAAGAATAGTGGATGGTGGCCACAGCTGTCCCTGTCACCAAGCCCATGGCTCCTTGGCCTGGGTCTAAGGAGTTAGTTGAAGCAGGAGCTCTCTTTCCAATGATCCACGTGGCAGAAGTGAATTGCCCCCAGGTTGCAGAGAAGCACCGGGCACTGTCTTCACCTTCCCTTGCCAGTCAATGCCTTACCTCCCGCTCCTTACCTGCCACAGGCTCCAGAGCCCTCCCATCGCAGCCTCAGGCACTGGGGGTGCCTCACCTAGGATGGCCAAACATGATGCAGAGATCGGCCCACTCTCCCAATCACCTCACAGTCTAGAGAAGCAGTGCCCGCTCTGCTTACCAGTGGGGCCACATCTTTTCTACCGGGTAGGGTGAAATGGAGGTGAAGAACTTTCAGACTCCCACAGCCTAAGTCACGCCCTCCCTGCCCGCCTAGGTGTAGTTCTAAGATGGCTGTTCCCCCAGGAGAACCAGGAGCTGGTGCTCTGAGACTTCAGGGTGTAGGTGGAGGGAGAGTGGTCAGCCTCTGATGGCAAATCAGAGAGCATTTAGGGTTAGAGTCATGTGGGGCTGGTTCCCTTCTTATTCTCACCTCACCACCCCGGAGTCGGAAGGGGCCTAGGAACAGGGTGGAGTGAGGTACCTAACTTTAAACTCCGTATTCTCTTCCATAGCCAGACCAGCCTAGGAGGTGGGAACTCTCCATCCATTTACTCTGGGATGGGGTTCCTCGGTGAGTTAGTTGTAGGTGCGTGGGACTAACACACAGAGGATCCTTCAGATCATTACTTGAGTTTGGGGAACATGACCACATTCGATGTCTCAATACAGAGGAGTTCATGTCGGTGGGATACCCCTCCACTTGCATCTGTTGTCCCCTGAAAACTTTAGGAGCAATCTGACTTAACCGCTGCCAGAGCTGTCATGTCCACCTGGCCCACAGTTTCTTCAGGTGGAAAAATATCTAATGGCCATGTTCCTTATTGCAGAATACCATCCTTATGGCCGAATCTTATGTTTATTAGAGGAGCTGTTTTTAGAATTAGACTCCATTTTGTACTATATTCTAATATAGCGGGTAGTAGGCACCACTGATTAATTGATATTTATGGGTGGGGGGGACTTACATTGTGAAAATTCTATACATTAATTATTATCATTGTTGTTGTTATTTTATAAATTAGAAAGAGACCTTAGTTATTTGATTTTAGCTGCAGAACACATTGGGAGAAAAAGCTTGAAAATCGCTAAACTCATTCAACTCCCTTGTTAAAGAAAACAGATACTTAGAGGAGGGTGTGACTCACTCAAACCCAATAACACAGTAGAAGTAGCGCCAGGACTGGACCCAGGCTTTGGACTTTGGGTCCAGTGCTCTTTTCACTATACCACACTTGAGCTCAGACTCCACTTCCCGTCCCCCAGTGGCTGACCTAGTCCCTTGGGGAAATTGCTGGATTTGAAACGGAGAAAGTCTAGATCACAAACCCCTGCCTTCCTTCTCTGGGTTGTCACCCTGCTGACCCATTAGGAGGATAAGGGACACCTGAGCCTGTGTCTCAATGTGAATCACACTCCCGCCCCCAATGTGGCCCTGGATGGGGTCTCTGCCTCAGCCCTATATAATGCTGTTGCCTTATCAATAAAGTGCATTTGTCTTCGTAACGTCTCCATTTTCCCAGTTCTCTCTCTCTCTGGCTCTGCCTTCTCCAGGGCTGGAACACACAGAGAACACCAGCTCCTCAGCCCTGGGGCCCGCGACAACCCTCCCAAGGAGAGTCTAGGATCTGGGAGGGGTGGGCGGGGAGAGGAAAAGTGAGGTTTCATGGCGGCCGAATTGGGAAAAAACGTGGTTATCATCTATTTTTCTTTAGAATGAGGGAAGGTGACAGTAGACATTTATAACTTAAAACATTTTAAGTGTATTATTGGAAACCCAGGAAAGTGTGTGCAGCAAAATGCCAAATAACCAAGATCCTGAGAGATAAGAAAACCCTTCTGCTGCCTAACTGGAAACAAGTGGGAGAATCCAAGTGAGGCCAACGGAGGAGTTTGGAATGTACAGCAGAGCTGGTGGAAGCAGCCAAAGCCAGGCTTTAAAAAGTGCCTCTTGAGTGATTTCCAAGGAGAAAAAAAAAAAAAGTTTGCCAGAAGTTTGTCATATAAACCAATGAAAAAAGCTTTGCTTATGGTAATAAAAATGGCTCATACTTACATAGCACTTACTTTGTGGCAAGTATTGCCTGTAAATAAATGCTTTATGCAAATCTACTTGCTTTATCCTCATAAGAACCCCGGGGGACATGGACTACTACTACCCTCATTCGACAGAGGACAGTGCCCAAAGCTACACAGTGGAGAGATGAGATTTGAACCCTGACAGCTGGCTCCAGAAGCCATTAACGAAGTGCTACACTATACGGCTTCCCACTGAGTGGAGTGGCCTGACAAGTGACCGTCTTGCCAGCTCTCTACTAACGAGGATGTAAGGGAGGTTCCCATTCCTAAAGTAGGCCCTGAGATGGGAGAATTGCAGGGACTGGATCAACCAGTGCTCGACTTGGTCACGTGTGCTGGGTTCCATCAGGTGTGGCACTTACCTGAGAACCTCAAGAATGAAAACTAAGCAACTGTTGAAAAAATGTGTCTTGTATTCTAAATGGCTGCTGTGCCAGTGACAGAGAATCGCAAATAATTCTTGTACATACACAGGACTCTCAGGGGATCCAGAGGAGCCAATGCACCCCACTGCGTTTCCCAAGGAAGTGAGGTTTATGACAAAGGGCAGCATTGCTAAACACGGCAAGTGAAAATAGCCCACCACAGACACAATATGGTAATCTGCAAATGAGGAAATTATGCCCAACTAATGATTTTATTTAGGGTAAGTTGGCCTGGGAACTTGTGGATGTGATTTACTTTAATTTTTCAGAAGTATGTGAAAAGATTGCAAACCAAATGTGTCCCTGGGGGACGGGATGGGAGTAGAAGAATTGGGGATGGAGCTTGAGGGCTATTTTGTTATGTAAAAATGAATGGATTTAGAGAAGGGAAATCAGCAGCTGCTTAATGTGCATGTCTCCGGCTGGAGAAGTGTGAGGATGAAGTTCTTAGAAATTGTTAGGAGAATCTTATGAAGCATTCTGTAGATGGTTTAGAGGAACAGAAAACCTCCGAGGCTGTGTGTTACAATAAACCTTTCCAGGTAAACTGAGAGGAATGCACCCAGAAAGATGTTAGCATAAAGCGATTTTAAGTTTTCACATTTTAAACTTCAGTTCAACACGTGTGCAGCTGCATGTGACTATTTCAATTAATTAAAATTAAACAAAAGCAAACATTCAGCTCTTCCGCTACACCAGCCACATTTTCACCACTCAGTAGCCCCAGGGCTACCTGAATGGACAGCGCAGACACAGAATACTGCTGTCAGAAAGTTCTATTGGACAGCAGTGGTCTACCAAATGCATTCTTATCTGGTACTAATAGTGGATGACAGGCTTCTGTTGGTCTGTTGAGACTGACAGCCACTAAACTGTTCAACATCATATAGAAGATATATACACTGTTACTAGGCTGCTGTGAACAGACCTGCCCCTCACAAGAGACATAAAGGAAAAACATCTCACAGGCTGTGGGGTTGAAAGGCTCAGAGCTTCAGGTGGCAGAAATAGGTCAGCGGTGCGCTGGGAAATATTGATTCTTTCAGTCCTGGCGGCAAACGAACAGGGCCTGCCTAGAGTGGACAGAGCCCTCAGGTCAGTGTCTCTAGCTTCTGCTAGAACCCCTTGGAGGCTGACAATGCAGTGTGGGGATCTGTCTGCCTCCCCCATGGCCACAGGGCACATGGACCCTGAGTGACATCTGGCATTCTGAGCACAGCCAAGGGGATGCCTCGTCATGTGGACAGCCTATTGGCGACTAGTACTCATTGTAAGCAAGAAGCCAGTGAGGCTCCTGAAGAAGTCTGTGCTTCAAGTGACCAAGAAGCACAGGGGAGTGTGGAGCAGTGGTTGGTGGGGGTCGGGGGAGGGAAGGGGGAATCCAGGGGGTGAGGGTCCTGTTCCAGACAGCTGCTCTGAATCTCTGTATTCGGACATGTCATTCATAAACGATACATGAGATAATACTACACACTGGGTTCCAGGGAAGCTGACTCTGAAATGTAGGTTGCAGTGCAGGGAGCTTACAGGGGAGAGGTCTCCGGGTCAACAGCTTTGGAGGCAGAGAAGGAAGTATGATCAGGTAGACGGAGAAGTCGGGCTGGAGTGCAGTCTCAACAGAGTCTCAACCAACCCTCATGGGGAACTCTGAAACTGGGATGGCCTTTGCCGGGTTTTTATATTCCTTCGTTGGCTAATCATTGGATGCTGGCTGTCCCCAAGAAGAGATTGTGACCTTGATGTGACCTTGAGCTAGGCAGCTCTTTTCAGCCAACGGCATGTGGGACAGGTGATTGTTTCTTCACACTTTGTACAACCAGGTGAGCCCTTTCAACATGGTTTGCTCTGCCCTGGGGAGGCTTCCAGGCCATTCGCTTGGGCTCTAGGTAATCAGAGAGCAACAGTCTCCAGTGCTCCCTCCAGAGGAGGGTGTTCATATCTTCTCCCCAGCTGTGGACTGTCTGGTATTTTCCTAACTCATCTTGAGCTTCACCACTAGGTGGTGCTATTGCCCTACACGGACAGGTTTGGGCTGTGGACAACCCCTCCCTTTCTGTGAAGCTGACAGTCACTGTTCCTGCAGGCACCTGGTGGTGTTCATCATCTGTCCTCACACCAGCAACGAAGCAGAATGCATAAGGGGTCTGCTCTCTGGCTTTCCAGGCCACCTCTGGAGTCACAGCCAGGGAAGAATCTGACACATCTTAGCCAAGGGCTCTCTGAGGTTTAGCTCTGGTCCCCGGTGCTCTGAGCTCCTTCCATGCTGGCTCTAGGTTTCCTCTGAGGTCCAGCCTGGTTGTGCAGTCCTTCCAGGGTTTGCAAGCACACACACAGCACTGAACTCAGGGCTGGGAATACAGTGATGAATAAGACAGTCGTTGCCCCCAAGAAAGGCACAGTCCAGTGGGAGAAGACAGATCTACAAACAGACCACCACCCAGCAATAAAAACAGAAGCTGCAAAGTATTAACACTTAACAGTATAAAGTGGGTCTCTGTCCTGGCTCCGCTACTTGTTGTCCGTATGATCTTGGACATGTTACTTAATATTTTTGAGCATCAGAGTCTTCACCTGTAAAATAAAATAAAAGCACCTACTTTCAGGTTCATCGTTGTGATATAATCTATGTAAAGCACTTATCAGACTACCTGGACGTAGCCATGACTCATAAATGTTGGCCAGCATCATTATTACGTCACAGAGTGGAGGGATGGTCAGATAAATTTCATTGGGAGTTGATAATGCTCCCATCCTCTGACCACTGATCCTTGCTGGGCCTGTCCTCTAGATCCCAGTCCCTGGAGCTGTGGGCTCCTGCTTCACGGATATCTACCGGAGCTGGAGCAAAGTGTCATTGTGCCATTGGCCACCAGGGTGCAGGTGTACAACTTAGTAAGCCAAAAGGGCCCCAACTGAAAGAAACAGCAGGGCCTGGAGAGAAGTGTGGGAAAGATGGGAAGGTAGGCTCATAAATCTGAAACACATGGAACTCTAGTTAATGCTATCCCCGGCTTCCTTCAATTATGGTCTTTCTTTGCCAAGTTTGCTACCCCAACGACCACTGCCACACAACTTCACTGCACACATAACCGACCCATAATTAATGTCAGTTTTCACTGGTAAGAAGTAGCTTATGCCCAGAGAAGGGGAATCAAAATGAGCTTCAAGAAGCAGGTTTGCTCCATGTATTTGTTGTGTCATTGTTTCGAATTTGTTTACCCCAGCGCTTACTGGACCCTTGCTCCTTTGGAGAGGTACAAAGCCCACTATGATCAGGTCTGCCTGCCTCTTCAGAGTCATGTATCACTGTCCAGATGTTGAAACTCAAGCCACTGCCACTTCTAATTACTTGCAGCTCTCCAACCGTGTGCCTCGGTGGCCTGTTTCCACTCCAGCAGTTCTCAGATGTTTTGGTCTTAGGACCCCTTTACACCACTAAAAATAGAAAACCCTGAAGAGCTTCTGTTTCTGTGGGTTATATTCATCAATATTTATCATGCTAGAAATTTAAATAGAAACATTTAAAAAATGTTTATTAAAATGTTTAAATAACAATGCATATATAAAGTTAACAAATAACCATTTTTATTAAAACAATCCTTTCCAAAGCAGAACAAATTTAGTGATAAAAGGGTATGATTTTACAGTCTTGCAAACCTCTTTAATGTCTGGCTTACGTAGACGGCAGCTAGATTCTCATATCTGGTTCTGCATTTCATCTGTTAGCATAACACACATCATGGAACCTCCGGAAAACTCCTAAGTACATAAGTGAGAGAATGAGTGTGAAAAAGGCAAATAACGTCTTAGTATTATTGTGAAAGTAGTTTTAACCTCGTAGAGCCTCTAAACGGAGCTTAGGGACGCCAAGGGGTCCCCAGATGACACTTTGAGACCCGCACCGTATACCTTTTGATGCATTGTTCCCTTGGCCCGACACGCCCTCCCCTTGTTCTCTATCCACCAGTTTTCTCAACTGTGCGAACTCCTACTGCTCCTTCAATTTCCGGCTCAGGCTTCATGTCTTTCATAAATTCTTCCTTGAACTTTACCATGCTGTACCGCCTCCCCTCCCCCGCCCGCTTGCCCCCCGGGTAGGATTGCGTACCCACTCTTTTGTAGAATGAAATATGCGTTGTAGTGGGTTTTAAATTTGTGTTTTGCCTTTGGGGCTCCCTTCCAGACTGGAACAAAAGAGGGAGGGATTCCATAAATGTAGCTAAATAGATAGATGAATGAAAATGCGAGGCCATGTGCCACCCACTTCTGTTAGCATTGAAAAGATCTGATCTTCACAAGGGATGTCAAGTTAAAAAACATTCCGCCTGGGTCCCTGATAGAAAATGAGATGCAAACAGACTTATGCAAATTTAAACACCTTCCCTTGAACTTTGGAAACTGAGAAGTTAAGTCCCTGTGGCTTCAGAACTCGCAGACTAACTACCTCTCCCAAATCATCTCCCTCATTCTGTATGTGGACAGTTTGATTTCTGGACCAAAATACAGAATTAGCATTAAATCCTATTCATATTTATCTGATTTGATTGATCTCACCTCCTAGCCTGCTAAATCTTTGAATCCTTATTTTGTCATCCAATGTTCTGGCCATCCCTCCTGGCCTTACATCTTCCAAAACTTAGATCTGCAGACCATGCACAGAGGTGACTGAGACGAGCCGTGACTGTGCCCTCCTGCAGGCTGACGTCAGTGCATTTTGGTTCAGGACCTCACTGGGAGCCAGGGCAGGGGGTGTGTAACAAGAGACTGAATCTCAGAAGAGAATAATTGAAAAGACCCATGGGAATTTGGGGGACTCCTCAATGCTTCCACAACCTCTCCCTCCTCTGGGCCCAACAGTCTCACCCTGTCTGGACAGGTACTTATGGAAAGAGAACAGATCTGAGCCAAGGATCGGGGATCCAGGGATACCTGATATAGGGAAAGCAAGAAGAGGTGGATCAAGTATCAGATTCCAAGCTGGTTTGTTTTGCAAATTCTGTCTGAGCCGGACTCAGGAAAGAAAGGCATCATCTCTTAGATACTGGTTGCTGAGAGAAGGAAGGCAGTGAGCAGTGGGCATAACTCTCCTTGGGCATCCATACCTTGGTGGAGAATGGAGAAATCACACATAGCCCACCTGGTAGCCCTTACTTAGCCTCTCCACTGCTTTCTTCATTTGGACTCAGAATCCCACTAGGCATTTGGAAAGACCTGCGCTTTCTGACCTAACCCTATCTAATTAAAAATCCTGTATGCCTGTGAACATCTGTGGCAGTTGGTGTGGGGCTGGGGTGAGGAGAGGGCAGGGGCCCCAACTAGGTCTTCGTCTGGTTCCTGTTTCTCCATTTGCCTACCAGATCAAGAAGACCATCACAAAAGGCTCAGCCAAGGGCAGCCCAGCCTGAGTGTGGGAGACTGTGAGTACCAGGTTCGAAGTGCCAGGGAAATCTCTTCCTCACATCCCCTCTGTTCTCTCCACTCCCGGTTCCACTGATTTAAATTCTTTTCCCCTCTCCTACCCTGGAGCCCCAGGAGGAGTGGGCAGGGAGGGGACGGTGGAAGAACCCCGCGTGATAAAGTGGAGATGGGAGAGAAGCCAGCCCTGCTTCCTCTCTGATAGGGACCCCACCCTAAGGGGCTCCCTGCCTTCTGCTGTGTTGACAGGAAGGCCTTGAGGTGGTAAAGGAGTGGGTGGGTGGGGAGGGAACACTATCGGTGGGCAGGATATAACCGGCCTTGGAAGATGACCGTTCACCCCACCACGGGCCAGCATGGTGCCAGGTGTGAGGGCTGCAAAGGTGGATGGAGCTCAGCTGCTCTGCACCCCCTCTCCCCGCCACTCCCAGCCTTGAGGGAAGCAGCTAAGGTAGTGAATAAAAGTATGGACTTCATAAGTAGGTTGTCCTGAATCCTGGTCATGTCTCTCGCTAGCCATGCAAGTTGGGGAAAGTGACTTGAGTTCGCTGGGCCTCGGTTTCCTCTGTGAATGGGGACATGGAGTCTTTGTGAAGATAACATGAAGGAAGGCTTGCAGCACGGTGGGAGCCTGGCAGGGCCTCATCTAGGGGAGCAGGTGAGAACAGCAGAAACAGCCCTGAGGGGGAGCAGGATCTGAACTCGCTGTGGGACTGCTGGCAAACAGTACTTGTTCTATCTTTCTTCGGTAAAGTGAAGATTATAATGGTACCTACTTCATAGGAGTTGTGAGGACTACGTGAATTGTGCCTGGCAAATAGTAAGTGTTTGATAACTATTAGCCTTTATCATTATTATTTTCATTACTATCTGTCCTGTCCTCTAACTAGATATCCTCTTCTTTATAGGGAGCGCCCTACCCCAAACATACACACATCCCAAGTCAAAGCTGGAAGAGGCAGAAGCTGGAACTCACAGGTGAGTCTTCTTGCGAAGGACCAAGCTGGCACCCCAGTGGAGCTCACAGCTCTGTTCCACGTGCCTCGGGGCAGCTTCTGTCTTAGCTGGGGCCACAGGAGGCAGGAGGTGCTTGTAGGGGAGAGTTGGTTGAGAGGTGCCTGGCCCTAGGGCCCCCTGTTCCAGGCCAGGGCTCTGCTCCACCCCATTATCTCCTCCTGCAAAGCCTCCTCCACCCGTCAACCCACAACCGAGATTATAGACCCTCAACTGTCTCCAACTGCTCTGATTCCAGGATAAGCTGGACCCTCAGCCCCACTCCGCACAGCTCTTGGCCAACCCCACCTCTGCTACCAGTGTTGAAGGGGGACTGTCTGCTTCCCCGGGAGCTGGGGAGCTGGAGGAGCAGGTGTCCCAAGGGCTGGGGGACCATGGACAGGGTGGCCAAGAGGACACTGTCCACCACCCATGGGTGGCCTGCAGAGTTTGTCAAGGAGAAAAGCCAGTCTCCGATGGGGAGGGATCTCGGAGTCTGTTTGGCGCCTTTCTTGATTCAGCGCCACTCAGTCTTTCTTGTCTTTGCTTCTCTGTGTCTACCGGCTGCTTCTGCAGTTTCTGCCTCTCTCTCTCAGGCGGCTCTTCCCCCACCCCCAGAGCACACCTGGCTCCTCACATCAGATAACCCAACCACAACAGCTCCCCTCTCCCCAACCCTGCTTCCAGCAGCCCCCTCCTCGCCCCTTGCCCTCTTCCTCCCCCTCCTCCCCCACCTCGAAGCTCTCAGGCTCACCTAGATTCCCCTGGGGAGGGCTGGGGGGCCCCCAAAACCTTACAGCCTTACTGGGTAATGAGGGTGTGAAAGACAACTCTTCTTACCCCCAACGCGTGCACACACACACACACACACACACACACACACACACACACACTGTAGAAACTCTATACCCCTGTGCACTGTAGGACAGAGAGTGAGGGGGAGGGACCCAGGGACCAGCCCTGAAGTATGAGGAAAATCCAGCCTGAGGAAGTGAGGGGGTGGAGGGGAGTTGCAAAAAGGGGCTGCCTCTGGGGCTGGGGGTTCCACAGCTTCCTGCTTCCAGGCAAAGAGAAGCTTCTTCCCTTTTCCAGGGCTTCCTGCATGCATGAGGTCATCTTGGGCCCTAGGGCTAGAAGCCTTCCTCAGGCCAGAGGCTAAGCTGGGACATAGATGGATGTGAGCTGAGCCATTCGCAACCCCAGCCCCTGCCTTTGACTTCTCAACAAAGGCCAAGTAGGCAGGAGCTGGGGGTTAGGGCACTAGTGGAAGAAGAAGCGCCTAGACTGGGGTGTGGTGAAGGTGAGAGGGAGGCTAGACACAGTGGGAAAGAGAGTGGTGGGACACGGGAGGGAGCGGGACAGGGACTGGTGGGTGCCTGGGAGCTGGGGCTGGAGGTTTTAATGCCTCTTGACAACAAATGAATCATAGGCAAATTATGTGGAAATGATGGCGTAAATAAAGACCTGTTATTTCAGGGCCCCAGTGTGTCATTGTAGGAAGAGAACTAAGGGGGGAGGAGCAGGAGGCTGCCCAGGCCGGATGGTGCCCGTAGGTGGGGGCCCAGGTAGAGTTCCTGTGGTGGGGGATGAAGGTGATGGCCCACTTGCATCTCCTATCACCTCCAGGGTGATGTGAAATGGCAGGTGGTGGACCACAGCACGCCAACCCCTCCCTGAGAACAGAGCAGCCCTCGTATCTCCTAGGCTCCTAGGTGATACCCCCCCAATCCTCCTCTAACCTCACTAGGCTGCTGCTACCCACAACTTTCCCCAGTACCTACTCTTGACTTCTCTGGGTCCTATTCTCTGGGGGCTGTCCCTCCAAGCCCAAGACAGTGGCACAGGAGCCAGTCAGAGCACCCCTGGAACCCAGACAGAAAATCTGGACTTTCTCCATCAGGACCGTACTGAGTTAATACCACAGTGACAGTGCCTGGCACATGGATGGAGCCCAGTAGGTCCCTGTATCTGCTAGATGAAGGAATGCATAACCTCTACAAGGTTGTCAAGGCCTCCTGGCAGCTCAATCTAAACTTCTGGTCAACCCTCATCCCCACTCTCCACAGCTCTTTACAATGTTGACAATTATTAAATAACTAGAAAAATGTGTATACTCATACCACCTTACATAACCATTATCTATTGCATAAAGTTCCTCTGATTCTTTTTCTCTCTACTTATGTTTTTTTTTTAATGCAGTTGCTATCACAGGGTGTGCACAAATCTATATTCTCTTGTGATGCTATCTTGCATTCATATACATCTTTTTACCAGCTTCATAATTTCCTATTAAGTGGAAATATAATTTACTTCATAATTTTCCCATTGTAGGTGTTCAAATAATTTCTAATTTTCCATATTACCAATATCGTTGTGGTGAACATCATTATGCATATATTTCACTACTCAGTCCCTGAATTTGGGCTATAGAAATCTAGTTTAGGGTACATTGGGTGGGATTATTAAACCACAGAGTAAAAACATTTTATAGCTCTTACTATATATATTGCCAAATCCATTTCAAAAGAGGTTACACCAACAACATGTACATTTCACCACACTCTCGCTAATGTCTGAAAGTGGTGTCTACATTTATCTTGTTTTAATTGGCATCGCTTTGAACATTTCCCCACCTTTGCTCACTGGCTGTGCCTGAAGAATCGTTTCTGTGCTTTGAACTTTAGTCTCACACTGTTTCACTGTTTCTTATCACTGTGTGTGAGCTCTCTCTATAAAACAGATTTGAAAGCATCGTCGATTACAATTGAGGGCAAATCTCTCCTTCTTGACAGTCTCTCCCACTTTGGATTTGTACATGGCACTTCTTGCTTCACTTAAGTCTCTCAGCCTCCTCCACAGGCTGCCACCCCTCTGCCCACCGCAAATCTTTGTTCTCTCAAGTGTCTGTATTTAGCCTTTTTCCAGGTTTCCCTTCTCTCCTCTTGTCTCCCCAGCTCTGGTGGCCTCATCTACTCTTAGCTACAACTCCAGCTCTTACTGCTGATCCTGGATCTTTACTTGTCCTTCCCCCTTATTCAGTGCTTTAGAGAGCAACTGTCCATGCAACCCACCCCCGACTGTCCCACCAGCTCCTCAACTCCACACGTCCACAGCTTGACTCTGTATTCCTCTCCGAATTTGCTTCTCCTGTATTCTCTACCTCTGCTGCTCAAATACTTTTGGGGTTGGAGTTGCGTTTGGAAGGGAAAGGAGGAGGGTAGGGGCTAGCAACCCTAAAGAAGAAATGAGACTCTACCAACCGTCAGCTTAGAGGGAGAAGCTTAGGAAGAGGAGAAGATCAGTTATCTAAGAAGATGCTGCTCTGTGACTCAGTATCCCCGCTTGTCTATATACTAGGACTGGTTCCAGGACTGGTTTCAAGCATCTAGAGATAGATGCTTGAAAGTCAAAGTAGGTAGCCATCCTCCTAGAGCAAAGTGACCTTTAACATTGACCTCACTGGCCTCCTCCTCTACTTCTTGAGCCCCTTCCCCAGCAAGAGACTAGAAGGGCTGAAGAAGAGGTTGCTATAAGTCTTCTAAGCCTGTGCTGTTCAATACAGTAACCACTAGCCACACGTGCTACTGAGCACTTGAAATACGGCTAGTCAGAATTGAAATGTGCTATCAGTGTAAAATCCAAACTAGATTTCAAAGACTTAGTCTGAAAAAAGGATGTAAAATATTAATAATTTTTTGTTTTGATTACGTGATAAAATGATAATATTTTACATGTATTAGGTTAAATAAATATACTATTAAAATGAATGTCACTTATTTATTTTTACTTTTTTTTTTTTTTTTAAAGAAAATTTAGTTACGTATGTTGCTCACATTCTCTTTCAATTGGATGGTGCAGGTCTAGATCATCCCTGCAGGCAAAACACAGGGCTGAGAGGCAGTGACGAGTTATGACAGATACAGATACAGACCCCACTGGAGATGTCACCAACTAGTCAGACACTGCAGGACAGCCTCAATGGCCCAGTGGCCCAAGCATGGCAAAATGTCCTAGGTAACTCCTTTAATCCTGGAATTCACAAGGTCCTCTGAGCTTGGGTTTGGCTTTTCAGAGCTTGTTCCTCATTACTCCAGGAAAAGTCACCCAGAACCACCCAGATCTTTGATTCTCTTCACCTACATAGTCCATTGGGACGTTCTCCATCATTCATTGGGGCTAGGCCCTGGGCTTCTCCCCAGAAGCCCAGAGGCATTCTTCCTACAGTCTAGAGTCCTCTCTTTCACTCACCTGGACTCAGGCTCAGCCCACCTGGGGGCTGGGAGAGAATATGAGAGAAAGCCTGGCTTGATGCCACCCTGGGCCCCTAGCTACATTGGCTGGGTCAGCAAATGTATTTTACGCTCCATTTCTAATGTCTGTCCTTCCTGTTGTCCCACTGATAGGGGAACAGAAAGGGAGCAGGAGGGAGCCAGGAGGGCAGGCACGGACTGGGGGCTGCCCTGCTCTACGTCAATCACCCGTGCCAGGCCTCAGCAGAGCCATAGGAGGGCACTGGGAGCTGGGGCCACAGACTGTGTGGATCTGCCCCTCCCTCTCCTGCCTAGATGACTCCACCTCTCCCAGGTCCTGGCTGGGATCCGAAGGCCCCAGGCAAGTGGGGGAAGGGGAACCACTCCCACTTTCCCAGCAGCTGCTGCTGCCTCTTCCTGTTTTGCTAAAATTCTGGCTCTGGACCCAAGCGGGTGGGGGAAGTTGCCAGCCACTCTTGCGCGCCCCCCTGCCCCCCCGCAAAGGTCACCTCCTCCCCCTCATCCTCTTAGCTGTTATTTATAGCCCCCCCCTCAGGCCTTGGCCGAGGAGCTAGATCTCTCTTCCCTCAAATGTCAGCAGCTGTGACCATTGCCCTAGGGATGCAGCCAGATGTGCGGATCACTCCAGATGTGCGTTGCCAAGATTGGAGAGAGGAGGCGAGGCCTTTTCTGCAGTCAGTTTGGGCATTCCCTGCAGCTAGGTCCAGG